AATACTAGCAGGTTTAAGGTTTAGGGTTTAGGGTTTAGGTTTTAGGGTTTAGGGTTTAGGGTTTAGGGTTTAGGGTTTAGGGTTTAGGGTTTAGGGTTTAGGGTTTAGGGTTTAGGGGGGCGTGCGCAGCGGTTCAGGGAGAGATCCCCTCTGTGCGGTTCCCTTTGCTAGCAGGTATGAAGATAACTATCGAGTTCTAGGGTGGCCGGCAACTGCATCGCTCCGATGATTGCAGGGCGCGATTTAGCGGTGTCTATCAGCTTCATGAGCGCGGATGCTCCATGGTGACGACAACCGACAAGACCTGCCTTTTCTGCAACGGCGCTATCTGCGTGAGCAAGGAGGATCTAGTCTAAGTAGACCCAGCAGCAGGCCCGAACAAAAACAAATGCCCTAAACCCTCCTACTGCACCCGAATACTACACCCTTAAACCCTGAACTCCATCCTAAACCCTAAACCCTAAACCCTAAACCGCACCCCAAACATCCGGCGAAGCGCAGAGCCCGCATCCGGCCTCGAGCTGGCTTGCTGGAGGACTGCAAGCGTCGGGTCGTCACATTGAGGTCGCCTGGAGCTCCCAACAGAGGTGGCGCTGGGAACTCTGTTGGGTTTTTGCAGTTTTTGGGCTTAAACCCTGAAACCTAGACCCTAAACCCAGAGGTGCTTGTAGCAACAGAAGGGTGATTTTGAGGGGTCCAGGTTCGGGTTTGCGGCAGGGGCGGAGCCAGCTCAGGGCCCTGAATGCTAAAAGTCTTGGACCATGGAAGCAAGAAACTTCATGATATGACCCTGACTCACAAACGGGTGCAGTTGTGGCGTGCTTTCGGGCATGTGTTGAACTACATCGGCGGTATTGACTGTCCTGGCTGTGTTTGCCCGCCATTCCCACTCGCTTCTTGTGAACTTCTTGTGTATGATTCAGTCCCTGATCAGTTTCTGCAAAATAGCTACCTAGACCCCTGGGAGGATCCAAAAAGGTAGTTTCCTAAACATGACCCAAGAGTATAGGCTACTTTTTGGATCCTCCCAAGGCTCCAGATACCAGGGAAGCCAATTTAGCACAATCCAAGTGGCTGATGGTAGGGATCGACAGCTCACCCACCTGCACCCGGGCAAGCAAGCTGAGCACGCAACGGAAGCTGTTCAGAGTATGCACATGTGTGTATTTCATAAGTATCTCTCTCTCTCTCTCTCTCTCTGTGAGCTATTCTGCTTAGGTTTTAGGGTTTGGGGAATACCTGGACCCCAGCTCCAGCCAGCAAACAACACCTCGTAGATCCCACAAAAACCTGCGCCTGTGAAGACCCTCACGGCACGGGTTTACTCATCAAGACAAGCCCTGCGGGACATCGGCAGAGCTGCTGTTCGTCTATTTGAGACAAAGATCTCTGAAGATCCGACCTGCCCTGTACTGCAAGCATTGACACAGGCCTTCTCCCATCCGCTGCCCAACCTAAGCATTTGCAAGCCGAATGCCTTCTCAGCGCTGAACAGGTCGCACTGCATCTTGCATACATCAACAGCACGCAGAATAACTTGCGGGGACAGAGATGCGAAGAACGTGCTGCTTGTACGCTAGGGGCAAAAAGTAGGATGTCCAAGCCCCACACATTTTGCAGGACCAGGTCGTGCAAAAGCACATGTCCTTCACACACGTCGCTTCTGCACATCTTCAACGGAGCTGGCGCTTCTTCTATGAATTTGACTGAGAGCCCCCATCCAAAGGAGTCTAAAATCTTGATCAACCCCCACATGCGGGCGAACTCACATCATTGCAGGGTTCGTAAGGGAGGGGGGGCTTCATGGGGGGTAGGTACCTAGGGAACCTCAGGGAACCTCAGGGAAGCTTAGGGAGCTTTCGAGTGGGGGAACGTTGGGCTACAGACCCCCCTTGAACCCCCCTCCCTTAAGAACCGACTAAAATCCGTCTGAAAGACCATGGGACCAAAAGTGCTCCCTGTGCGTAGCTGAAGTGCAGCATCTACAGGCTTCAGGGCAACCCCTAAGCCCAAGAACCCCAAACCCCGAAACACCTTAGGGTTTAGGGTTTAGGGTTTAGGGTTCAGGGCTACTGCAACCCTAGCCTGCCATAAAAAAAGCCTCCCTAAGTATCCTCAGGCTCCACCATCGGCCCGCTAACCCCCCAAAAAGCCCTTACTTCAACCTTGTAGAACCCTCATTGAAACCCTGAAGCCCTGAAACCCTGGAACCCTGAAACCCTGGAATTTCTGAAGCCCTGAAGCCCTGAAGCCCTGAAACCCCGAAACCCCGAAACCCTTAACCCCTTACAAAGCCTCTAAACCCTGAAATCTAAACTCCAAACCCTATAAACCTTCTAAACCCTCAGACCCTCAACCATAAACCTTGGGATGTTCCGCCTTGTACTAACAGTCCTCAATAGGGGGCACTACAATCCCTATTAAGGAACTGTTTGTATAAGGGCGAACATCCCACTACAAACCCCTTAACCCCTGAACCCTGAAACCCTGAAACCCTGAAACCCTGAAACCCTGAAACCCTGAAACCCTGAAACCCTGAAACCCTGAAACCCTGAAACCCTGAAACCCTGAAACCCTGAAACCCTGAAACCCTGAAACCCTGAAACCCTGAAACCCCAAACCCTGAAACCCTGAAACCCTAAACCCTGAAACCCTAACCCTGAAACCCTAAACCCTAAACCCGAAACCCTAACCCTTAACCCTAAACCCTAAACCCTGAAACCCTGAAACCCCAACCCCCCCTGTAAAAAATCCCCACCTGGAAGCCGCAGCTCGATGCGTTCCGGACCTCGCGCTCCAGGCGCCCGACCACCTGGCGCGCGAGCCCCCCAAAAAAGGGTATGTAGGTGACTGCCACAACCTAGGTCCCCCCCCCAAAAGGGGGGGGGGGGGGTTAGGGTTTAGGGTTTGGGGTTGAGGGTTTAGGGTTCAGGGTTTGGGGTTTAGGGTTTAGGGTTGGGGTTTGGGGTTTGGGGGTTTGAGGGTTTGGGGTTCAAGGTTTTGGGTTTGGGGTTTGGGGCTTAGGGGTTAGGGGTTTGGGATTTGGGGTTCAGGGGGTGTTGTTGGTGGGCTCTGGGTTTCTGCTTCAGGTTTGTACGGGGTATGGGGGGATTCATGGATGAAGGGTTTTGGGGTTTACGGGTTTCAGGGTAGCTGCTGCTGCGGCGGCTTCGTGAACATTATCAGGACGTTGTAGGGATGCCTGTTGGGTCGTATGGGGCTCATCCTTTTTGCTTTTTTTTTCGCAAAAGCGTGAAGGGCAGGCAAGGTGGTTGCGGGCAGGCTTAACAATTGAAGCGAGACAGGCCCCACGGACAACACAAGGACAAAATCCCAAGGCCTGCAACCTAAGATCTCAGGGCCCAGGGTTTGAACCCTCTAAAGCTCTTAACGTTTAATCCATACGGATTCCCAAACCTTCCCCCCCCCCCCCACCCAAAAGAAAAACAAAAGTAAAAATTAAAGAAGGGTACTCTCAAAGACGCCCTACCACTACACGCTAGTTCTTAGATTCTTTGGGGGGTGCCCCTTCGGCCGTTGTGGGGTGTACCCTTGGAGGTTTGGGGAACCTAGAGACACATCAACAACCCCCCCCCCTCCCCCCACTGCGTGCCTCCGTGACCTCGCGCACCTCCTTGATACCTCGCTCCCACTCCTGCAAGGAAGAAAGTGCCAAGAGGGCTCCATTAGTGGGCGTTTAGAGTTGGCAAGCTCAGGGCAGCGAATCCTGGGGCTTCGTGCTCGCAAAGGTTGCTAAGGTGTTGAGATCTGGCGTGGTCGTCTTGTTTGTTGATGCTGATGCCTTGGTGGGATCCTGCTACTACCTTCAACAGTGTTTGGGGCTTGAGGGTTTCTTGGACACTACTAACATAACTGGTGCCCTACAGAAGGTGTCTATTGTTTTAACGGGATCCTCTTTTTACGTACTGCCTTGAAGAGGGTATATCAGCCTCTTAGGTTTATAGGAAAGTTAAACATAGTTTTGGGTTTTGTATGACTTGAGGATGCCACCTCACAAAGGGTTGGTTGAAGCTTCAGGGTTTAGGGGCTCCCTACATGGTGGGTTTAGATCAGGCTGTTTAGGTCCTCTCCAGCTGTGGGACATGTGTGAGTTTAGAGGCTAGGGCTGATCGAGGCTTCAGGGTATGCCCTCACCCCTGTCGAGTGGGTTGTTAAGGGTAAATATTAGGGCTTAGGGTATAGACTTGGCGGGATTCAGGGCAAAGGGTTTGGGGGTTTTCCCTCCCTGCCTCTGTGGTTCGTGGTGGGTTTGGGGTTGAGGGTTAGGGTTTCGGGAGGTAGGACAAAGGGTGGGGTCGAGAGCGCGGAGCCGTGGACGCATATAGGGCTCATGGGATACTACGCCCAAGAGGCTTTTCGGACCGTATGTCGGGACACCGGGAATCAATTGGGTTCTTTTGGATCCAGGCCAACATTTGATGAGCACTTTGGGAATCAGGTTACTAAACTCTAAACCCCGAACCTTAAACCCCAAACACCAAGCCATAAAGCCCAAAACTCCCCAATATCGGCCCACCTCGGTGACGACTGGAGCCAAGCCAGTCGCCCTGACGAAGTGAAAGGGAAATTTGGTTGGAGTCAAATGACCTGCAACTTTGGGTGCAGCACCCTGTATTTGGGAGTCGGGCTTGGGGTTTCAACCAGAGCTTGGGCTGTTTCTCGGGGAGGTGGATTCAAGGATTGACAGCTTCAGCTCTCGAGGACCTGGGGGCTTGACTCACATAGCTTTGCACAGTTCGGTGAAGCTGATGCAAGTGTGGCCTTTCGGCCTTCGGCGCCGACGAAACCCCGTCTGAATTCGAGCACGCCTTGAACTGGGCAAAATTGTCCTTGTCGCACCTTTTATCAAGAGGCACTGAAAGAGTCGCTCTGAAACCATGCAAAACGTAGGAATAAGTCCGACTACCTCATCGACTGACGTGTTGAAAGGTCTCACTGCCTGAAGAGTCTGCAACGCTGCAAAGCAGAGTTGCACTCATTCAGTGGCAGCCGTCGTTTTTCAAAAATACTGCTTCTCGCCGCATGGGGTCGTCAAGCACCACAAACCGGGTTAGGCTCCAAACGAGCCCGTTGTACGTCTTCATCTTGTGCCCGCACTGACGCTTGCGTTCAGAAAGCTTCATCATGGCAGCAAGTACTTCATGTTTTGTTGATGTAGTGCTTGAAATAAGCCCCTGCTTCTGCAACATGTCGCGGACTTTCTGGTCATCGGGGGGTGCTCGTTGCCAAAGTGGCGGCAGTCGGTTCGACAAAAAAGCACGATGCAGCAAGCACAAAGCCTGTTTAACAGTATCCTCAGGCGAAGGCAATAAGCCCATCGTGAGAAGTTGCTTCTTGTTCTTGGCTCCGTTTATGAAGACAAGCAAGCCCTCGACGACACTTGTGTTCAAAGAGCTGTCTATGTATCCGAGCCTCTTCAGCACTTGCACTGCCAAGTCATCTGACTCAGGCATTATGAACGGAGCACCACCACGCAGTATGGCCCTTTGTAACCTGCTCCCATAGACCGTCTGATTGGCCTTAGAAAGCCCAAACATAGCAGGAGCATGAGGCAAACACAAGGCATAGTTCCCTGTTCTTGCGCTGGGCTGCCGCGCACTGCCGGCAACTGCTTCACACATGAACTGAATAGTGGCTTCTGTCGGAAAAACCGGCAGCGGAGAGCTCAGGGCACCAAGAAGTACGTGTTCATACCAGCATTTCACTGCTGCATGGTGTGTGTTGTCCTCGGCGCTGCAGAACTGCTTGTGGATGAGAAACTCATGCAGGGATTCCTTCTGCTTACGCGCATCCGCTCCAGACAGTGGTGGAGTGTCTTCCAGAAAGACCTCTCCACTTGCATCGGAATGCAGCAAAGCCCGAACCTTGAAAGGCACTGTGCGTGGAAGCTGAAGGCGAAACACTCGTGAAGCTTGACTCTCAATGGTATCTGTTCCGCTCACCTTTGTGTCCAGAACCACCAACCAAAACTCTTTCATACCCATCTTGGCTTGATGCATCACGCGCTTCATCAGAACTGTGTCTTTTGTGAACAAGACAATACAAGAGACATCTGACTGCTGGCAAAGCCTGCCAGCCTGCATCAGGATTGCTTCATCGTTTGGTTCACTCACCAGACCACTTCTTACCACTGGCAGAAAGGAAACCCCACGCTCTGTAAACAGCGACTGCCACTTGGGACTGCTCTGCCTAGTCGGTTCGGCAAATATCAATGTGCTTAATTGCGGCATCTGTGCCTTCTTGAGGTTCTGCATGGCATCTCTAATCAGTTCTATGCTCAAGGTGTCAGCGTCGACCAACAGGGTCGTTCTAGATGGCCACTTCAAAACGGAGAAGGCTCGCGTGGACGATTGATCCCAAACAAAGCAGGCGCCGCATGGCTTGGTCACCACATTCCTAGGTCTTGCAGGTGACTGTGAGTGACGCCACAAACTGCGCCATTGAGGTTGTAGACCGGGAGCGGCCAATACAGCGAAGTTCTGGCCACAGCACGAAATGCCCTTTTGGTACCTGGATGCACGAAGCAGGATTACATAAATGCCAGCATGAAATCAGCGTCGGTTTCTGAACTAGAATAGAAGCTGAACTCCACAGTGATGGTCATCGTGTTACAATGTCTCAGTGAGAATGAGAGCAGAGCTGTAAGAGATTACGTAAGATTCATGGTGAGGTGGCCACACTAAAGTCTAAAGAATACTCTTGCCTAAGCGAAGCAATTTGACTACCTTTCCTCCTCGTCCCTTTCAAATAAATATGCCTAGAGTCAATGGCCCGAGGATCTTGTCACCCAGCCTGGTGCTTCGTGGTTGAAACATGGCGGTGCAGCAAGCGCCCTGTGAGAATGCTTGACTGCTGAGCCAGACTCGTCATGCAAACAGCGGCTTGAAACAACAATAACATGTCGCCTTCTGGGTGCGGGTGATCTGTTGGGTTGTGCAGCATGTGGCATAGGGGCATACAAAGGCTGCAGTAGCTGTGCGACAACTCTTATGCAAGTTGACCCGAAGAGTGGAAGCCGTTGACATTCCGGCTGACATCTACTAGAACAGCAACAGCGGCCCAAAGCCATATACAAAGCTTTTTTTTTCTTTACTTCCAACATGTGAGGGTATAATGCACGTGGGCACTTGCGCAACCTAGTTCCAGAACCCCAACTTCAACCCCCAGAAAGCACGGAGTGCGATTGATATCTGCCGCGAAGCTCCCGGAAAGTCTGTAAAGCCGCTGCGAAGAACAGTCACGGTAGCGACTGTTGGCGTGAAAGACTAGAGCAACCACAACATATGGACGCCAAACCCTGAACCCTCAGCAATGGCAATGAACGGAGAACAAGCGATGGCCTCTGCATGTTCTGGCGCTGCGTCGCTGTCATTCGCAGGCCCTCAGTCTCGGCAAGGTAGTCGGCCAAGGCGCCTTCGAGCTCGGTCTTAAGTTGGGGCTGGCACTCAGGCTGCTTGAAGAAACCAAAGCTTCAACACTAAACACAGAAGTCAAGCATGTATGTGAGGTAAGTTCGAGTTGAAGGTCAGAATCCGAAGATCTGAGCTTGGCGTCGACGCACCACCTATGGCGATTACGAACCGCCCTAACATAAAAGCAATTAGAGCCGCACGGCCTAAACCCGCAACGCGCAGTCACTTCGCGACAACAAGAAAATCCTAAACCACAAGCCCTGGCCACTAAACCCCTTAAGCCTGCAAATCCTAGCTGAAGGGAGGAGCCGCTCGTACGGGGATCTAAGTCAGAGTCACAGGCAGTTGTATGGGTCTCTGAGGGCTAAAAAGAAATTGCGAGGGCTCAGAAGAGCCCCAAGCAGGGCGTTAAAACGGACTTTGGAGATAGTCTGCAACACAGCCTGTCATCTCGGATGCCGCCAGCTTCCTCTTGGCGTAGATCTTCGAGGACTCGGCAAAGGGTTTGGGGTTTAGGATTTGGGCTTAGGGTTTAGGGATGCCCCCCGTCCCCCAAAGTGAGTAGCTCCTTCGTGGGCATAGCTCCATCAAACACCGGTGGCTTCCCGGAGCCAAACACAGTGATCTGTCTCCACGTGACGAAAAACGAGCCTGGTTGAGGGCTTCAGGTTTAGGGTTAAGGGTTTAGAGTTTAGGGTTTGGGGTTTAGGGGGCCAATGTACCAGTGCCACACCCAAACATCCTCCCGTGACGGACGACTCAGGTATCCAATGCTTGCACGCCCCTGCGCCCACAAGAAGGGGGTAGCAGGCTGTAGCAGGTAGGTTTGTAAGGCCCTGGCCACCGTGGCTGAGACGGACGTGCAAGTATTGGGCAGGTGCTTTCTCCAGCAATGGCAGCTTCCCTCCTGCGGCTTGGGGATGCACTGAATACACAGCTTGGGGACCAAATGAACCCTAAATTTGGGGTCATATACCCTATACTACTATAATTCCTATCAAGGTGTATGAGCCATAAACCCCTTCTAGGGTTCATGTCGTCCCCAAGGCAGATGCCAGCCCAACTCGCTCAGGGATACGAGTCTAGGGTGAGGTTTCGGTGGCCAGGCAATGCAAATCGGATCTGTGGAATTTGTCAATGTGACATCCCACTGGCATTGTCCGAAGAGTATCTTCGTCGTGCATAACACGGCAGGAAAAAAGCAGACTGTAAAAAAGGCAAGCGCTTAGCTCTATGAGCATCGAAAGTTGCAAAGCTGCCCAGCCTCTGATTGCTCCACGTCTGGATCTGCTTCACACCAGAAGAGGTTGCAATTGTAGCCCCTTGGGATTTCAGGGCCGGTGCATTACTAGTAAAAACCCTAAACCCTAAACCTAAACCCTAACCCTCAACTTTCGACCCTGGAATGTTTTCAAGTTGTCTGGCTTACGGCTCTGGATAGGCACCCCGCAGCTGAAAAACACAGGGCTGAAGGCTATTAAATTGGGGGGTTGGATCCCTGGACCCTCCTTAAACCCCTGGTGCCTGGAGCCCTGAACCCCAAGGCCCTATAAGCCCCAAAGCCACAAACCTCCAAAAACCCCCCCAAAGCCCCATCCCCAAAACCCGCAAAACCCCCCAAACGCACCTCCCAACACCCCACAGCCCCTGTTGCTTAGGGTACAGGCCAGCTCCCCGGTGTGTACGTGTAGGTGCTGGGAAAGGGCCTGGGCTGGGGCTTGGATCAAGGGTTCAGGGTTTCGGGTTTAGGGCTTGGGGTTTAGGGCTTGGGGTTTAGGGTTCAGGGTTTAGGGTTTGGGTCTTGGGCTTCTGTAAAGTATGACTTTCATTTGCGTCAGCACACGATACGGGGTCTTGTATCTAGGTTGCCCAGAACGGGCACCATTTGCCATATCTCAGCAAGGAGGGGACTTTCTACGTGTGGAGCTTCGGGCCAGGAATGACTGCCAGAACCCGGACACGAAGCCACATAAACTCTTTGAGCCACTGTTGAGCTCCAGCTCCTTAGTCGACGTTACCAGGCCGAGCAGCGTGAACATGGCGTCATTGCAAACACTGACCTCCAGGGATCTGGACAGCAGGGTGGGAGAAGATGCTATGTTTAGGGTTTAGGGTTTAGGGGTTTAGGGTTTAGGGTTTAGGGTGTAGGGTTTAGGGTAGATTAGGCTGATAGCCCTACTGCACCCGACAAAGTGAATGTAGCAGCCGTGTGGAAAACAAGGACAGCATCAATCAATGATCGGGCGGCCTGTAGCAAACCCAGCTGCCCTCCCAGCACAAAATATCCAGCCACAGCTCCGAACTCGGAGTCCAGCGATTTTTTGCTACGAGTTTACCTAGACCATAGGATACAATACTTCTTGAAGAGGGAATCTGTGCCTTAAAGTTGCTGGGTACACTACCCCTTTCCAAAGGTGCGGGGTTGCACGTCCCGCCTGCGGTGTATCGATGGTCCACAGAGGGTTGAAGACCTGATGAGTCAAGGTCGATTCAGGGTTTAGGGTTAGGGTTTAGGGTTTAGGGTTTGAGGTTTAGGGTTTAGGGTTGAGGGTGGAGGTTGAGGGTTTCGGGTTTAGGGCTAGGGTTTAGGGTTTAGGGCTTGTTTATTGTGGGACCCGGAGGGCTTTGGGTAGCTGGCCTGTCGAGGCCTAACATCCGACTGGACACTCCGGAGCTTACGGAATCTGACTGGTGGTCTAGACACACATATGTATGTCAAATACTACCCTCTAGACGGGTGAACCAGAGCACCCTGAACCCTAAACCGTAAACCCCCCACATGCGGCCTCATTGGCATCGTTGAAGGTGGCGAAGACCTGCCAAGAGTCCACACTGTCCAAAACAGCGAAGGTAGCTCCATGAATCTAATATAAGGGCCTGAATAATTAGAAAAGGGCTTTGGGGAGTTATTATGGTATGAATGTAAAGGGACCTTAGAAAGGGAATGCTCTTAGTAATTCTTCGGTCCCCTCTATTACACCCGAAGCTGACTTGCAGCTGTGCATTGTGCATCACGCTTGCATCCCAGTGGACATTGACTTCTCATGCCGCGGCCTAAAAGGTTAGGGTTTAGGGTTTAGGGTTTAGGGTTCAGGGTTTAGGGTTTAGGGTTTAGGGTTTAGGGATGAAAGCTCCCCGGGCAGGCAAACTCAACTTCGCAACGTTTGCGCACCGAACCGTCGCGATGCAAATCAACTCGCCCAGAGCTTACAGGCCTGCTGCCCACGGTTGAGGTTGTGATTCTCTGGGAAGATGCTGGGCACGCCCGAGTCTACCTGGCAGGTGACTTCAACACAAAGAGCGGGATGGAGCTGGGTTTCGGTACAGCGATGGGATGCATCATGTTAAGAGCCCCCTAAACCCTAAACCCTAAACCCTAAACCCTAAACCATATGAGGGGTGGTTCTGTCCCTCAGTGCACGGACAACGCTCAATGCTCGCCTGTGGCCGGGAGATTCCCCGAGCGTTTGGGCCCTACGCCCGGCGCAATTGGAGTTCAGAAACACCCATCCAAGTGAAAGGAGGTAAACCAGTACAACTCTACTTCATCCCCACACCCTTGCGGCACTCCGGCACCTCGAAAACCATAGAGGCCCACACGGCCAAGCCGATGCAGATGATAATCTGAGCGTTATTGGCAGCACAGCAGTCGTGGTGTTGCGAGGCCTCCGAAGCTAGAGCAACTACGGATCCACGAGCGACGACTTAGAACAAACTGAATTTCGCTGGCAAACTGGTTCTGGGGCGGGGGGCTGGCATGCATATGGATATAGATAAAGACGGTCATCATGTCTCGAAATGGTCCCTGTTTTCAAGGTCCCTGTTACAGCACAGCCCCTTGT